GGAACTGCTCCATCTCTGTCCCCCCATGTGCCCAGATCTGCCCTCCCCTTCCCCGTCCGGGGCAGCTCCCCTGGGGTCCCGTCGGCGGGGGGGAGCAGAGGCTGGTGTCCGGGGGGGTACGAGCTGGAGATTCGCAGCCTCTATCCGTCTGTCCATCTGTCCGTCCCCCCGTGGCCCCGCTGTCTGTCCGTCCCTCTGTCCTACCCCCCACCTGCGGCCCAGCTGTCTGTCCCTCTGTTCCCCCATGACCCCGTTGTCTGTCCCGTCCCCCCGTGACCCCGCTGTCTGTCCGTCCCTCTGTCCGTCCGTCCCCGCAGCCCTGCTGTCTCAGTCCCTCTCTCTCTCCACCTCGTGGCCCCGTTGTCTGTCTGTCCCTCTGTCCGACCCCCCTGTGGCCCCGCTGTCTGTCTGTCCGTCCGTCCCCCCGTGACCCCATTGTCTGTCTGTCCCTGTGTCCGTCCCCTCACGTGCGTGTCTGTCCATCCCACAGGCAGCCCGGGGCATGTCCCGCACAAATGCAGCAGCACCAAGCACCGCATCATCTCCCCAAAGGTGGAGGCGCGGCCCTGCCCGGCCCCGGCCCTCCCCGACCCACCGCGCCTGGCCGAGCCCAAGCCGGAGCCGGAGCTGGCCAAGCCTGACCGGAAGGAGCCCCCGGCGCCCGCCGCCGAGCCCCCCTCCTCCTCCCCGGACGCCCCCCAGCCCTCGTCTGCCGTGGCCCTGTCCATGGGGCTGCCCGGCAGCACCGTCCTGGTGATGACCGGCCTGGAGAAGCCACTGGCCCTCACGCCCAGCCAGCACCTGGTGGCGGGCGACCCGCCGGGCCTGGCCCTGCTACCGGGCCCCGGCCTGGTCCTGTCCCAGAACCTGGAGGCCAGCATGGAGACCGGGGAGGCCGGCTCGGGCGCCTTCGACCCCGACTGCTTCCTCAACAGCCCCACCCGGGGCCAGACCTACGGGCGCCGGGCCCCGGAGCCGCCCCCGGCTGGCAACCGCTTCTTCATCCAGGACGATGGGGGGGCGCCGGGGCGGGGGGGCAGCCAGCCCCCCGCCGGGGAGACGCCCATGGAGACGGGGGGGCCCCGGCCCAGCGGCGGGGCCAGCGAGCAGCTGCCGGACGACCTGTACTCCATCATCCAGACGGGGGCCGCAGGGGGGCCGGACCTGCCCTTCGGCCTCTCCCTGGACAGCCTCATCTCCGAGCTCATGACGGAGGGGGCCGGGGCCGGGGAGGGGAGCAGCCCCCCGTGCCCGGCCCTGCCCGACGCCCCTGGCGAGGCTGCCCCCCCAGGGGGCGTGGCAGCGCCGGAGACACTGGTCGCCATCACCGACTTCTCGCCGGACTGGTCCTACCCTGAGGTGAGCGGGGCATGGGTGGGGGGCTGGGATCGGGGGTCCTGCCCCTCCCTCCGCACCAGCCAGTGGGGCATCCGCCCCCCCTCCCCGCCCCGTTAACCCCTCGCTTCACCGCAGGGCGGCGTCAAGGTGCTGATCACGGGGCCGTGGACGGAGGAGACGGATTCGTACACCTGCCTCTTCGACCGGCTGGCCGTGCCGGCCGCGCTGATCCAGTCGGGGGTCCTGCGCTGCTACTGCCCCGGTACGGGACGGGGGGCAGGGAGCAGGGCAGGGGCCTGTCCCCTCTAGGGCACGCCGGCTCCCACCCAGCCCCAGGGCGGGGACTGGCTGGCTCGGGGGGGCGGGGAATGGGGCAGGGGCCTGTCCCCTCTAGGGGGCGCCGGCTCCCACCCGGCCCCAGGGTGGGGACTGGCTCGTGCTGCCCCCTCTCACTGCCCCCCTCCTCCCGTAGCCCACGAGGCCGGGCTGGTGGCCCTGCAGGTGGCCCGCAACGCCCGGCTGGTCTCCGCCTCGGTGCTGTTCGAGTACCGGGGCCGCGAGTTCCTGGCACTGCCCAGCACCCAGCTGGACTGGCTCTCCCTGGACGGTGAGTGGGGTGCCGGATTGGGGGGGGGGGGC